ACTCATTGAGAGCTACACTTAAGATCTGTGCAAGTCACTGTATGTAAATCCTATCTGGATAAAAATGTGTATATTTTTTTAAAAAGGAAAAAAGGTGTTTCAGGGTAAAGGCATCAGGACGTAGGAGCAAAGACAAGCAGAGAGGGAGGAAGTAGCCAGAGGTGATTCAGGGAAGGCAGCAGAACGGGTGGAGAAGAGCAGGTCTGCGGGGACGGGGGCTGCGAGCGGGAGGCGTCCGCAGGGCCGTGCAGTGTGGCCTCCAGCCGGGCACGCTGGGCCCAGATGCCATCAGGCAGCCACGAGGCTGTGTCTGCCTCACAGGTTCCCAGGCAACTCCAACAAGATCCTACGTGTAATGTGACTTAGGAGCCACCACACACGGCAGAGACAGGACACATCACTAAGTCCCCTGCTTCCTCCCGCCTGCCCCTGGAGGCATCCTGGCGCTTCAGGTTTGCTCTGCTCCGCAGTGGAACAGCCTTGCTGTTCTTGTCCCCCGGAGGGACAAGTTTAAGGCACTCGACGTGCCATCAGTTAAGGGGCAGTCCTTGCACGGACTCAGCCAGGAGCTTGGTGTGAACCCCCAGGGAGCCAGCACCCCATGGGGGGGCGGGGGGACCAAGCAGAAGGATTCTATTTTTGCCACATCATGAACATCTAATTTGAACCCCCTTTTGTCCCTTCGATCTTCTCCACGAAAGTGCTCTCATTTCATTCATTTATCCACTCATTCAGCATATTCTTTTTTTTTTTTAAAGATTTTATTTATTTATTTGAGAGAGAGAATGAGAGAGAGAGAGCACATGAGAGGGGGGAGGGTCAGAGGGAGAAGCAGACTCCCTGCTGAGCAGGGAGCCCGATGCGGGACTCGATCCCAGGACTCCAGGATCATGCCTGAGCCAAAGGCAGTCGCTTAACCAACTGAGCCACCCAGGCGCCCTCATTCAGCATATTCTTATTAAGACAGAGCTTTCAGTGATCCAGGCACTGTCTTGAGCTGGGGGTACAATGCAGAGCAGGTGACACGGATCCCACCATCACAGAACTTACAGCCCGGGGACTGTGGACGCTAGGTGGCCCATGGATGAGTTTCAACAAGACCGTGACATGCCCCCGCTCCAGAAATGGCATTGAAAATGTCAAGTGTATGAGATTTTTTTTTTCCTTTTTATGGAGAAGGGGATCGGTAGCTTTTTATCAGGTTCTCAGGCATGTGGGATGTCCCCGCCCTCACCTGTACGCCCTTCCTCCATCTCCTCGAGTCCCAAACAGCTGCAACCTCCACACCTCTCATCCTTCGAGACTCAGCTCACAGGTGTCTATTGAAATGTGGCTGAACACACCAGCCTGCCTGCCCCCTCTACCCAGAATCCTAGATATACTCCAAACAAAAGGTACAACCTGCTAGAAGGTGAGACGGGTTCCCAAGGGTGTAGCCGTAATTACGAGGACATCTCTTAGAGAGCGGATGGGACGAACTGAAGGAGAGAGGACAGGGCCACTGAGAAAGTGGAAGGGGTCCCAGGACATGGTGGACAGGGTACTGGCTAGGGGTCTTCACCAGGGAATGGCCAGAGAAATGACAGAAGGAAAAGTCCCAGACCTGTCCTCAGCATGAACATCCCGCCTCGTGCTAAGCAAAGTGGGTGCGAAGGATCCCTTTCTAAACACAGTGATGTGCAATTTAAGAACACTGAGTTAAAAAAGAAAATCCTAGGGCGCCTGGGTGGCTCAGTTGGTTAAGCAACTGCCTTCAGCTCAGGTCATGATCCTGGAGTCCCGGGATCGAGTCCCGCATCGGGCTCCCTGCTCGGCAGGGAGTCTGCTTCTCCCTCTGACCCTCCTCCCTCTCATGCTCTCTGTCTCTCATTCTCTCTTGCAAATAAATAAATAAAATCTTTAAAAAAAAAAAAAAAAAGAAAAGAAAATCCTAAAAGTTCCATAGGGAGAACTCAGATAACCTGAGAAGAAATGATAATCAGGTGACATCACTCTGCTCCTGAGCAAGACTCTACCTGTAGGGTAAGGGACACTGTCTTCCAAGTCTAGGGAGAAAGCTATTTTGAAACTAGAAGTCTGTACCTTCACGTATGAGAGAGAGGAAAAGGCATTTTCAGACATGAGAGGCTCAGAAAGCTTGCCACGTGTCTCGGCCACCTGTGGCCTAGGAAACTGGAGGTCCTGGGTGTGCCAGGGCTCCGAAGTCTGGCCACCAGGAGCCAGTTTGCAAAGTGATGAAGAACACGGAGTTTGAACTTGCAGCCTATTGACTGCAGCGCTAACCAATGGGAGGCCTCGGGCAGGCTACTTAATTCCCTGAGCACAGAGGACGTAGCTCAGTGCCTGGCCCAGAATCCTCACCAAACATGGCATGGAACTGATACTGGCATTAATATCAGTAATGCTCCTAGCTGCGGGCAGAAGCTGGCTCATGTCCACAGCAGGAACGAATGGTCCTGTTTACACGTCTGTTGCAAAGAGTAATCATTTAAAATATCCTTTCTTCTTGACTAGCCATTCCCAGCAGCAATTAAAGTATTTGAATTTGCACAAGTTTCAATTCCGAGTCCTTTATTTCAAAGCAGAGACCTAGCTGTTGTAATTATTCCCTGTCATAAATGATAGGAAGTCAGGGCTAGGGCTAGTCTAGTTGGCCAGGCTGCCGTCCCAAAACACCACAGACGGGGGGCTTAGACAAGAGAAATTAATTCCTCACAGTTCTGGAGCCTGAAAGTGCCAGGGCAAGATGCCAACAGAGTCGGTTTTGTTACTGACCTTGGCGTTCTTTGTGTGTAGAGACAGACACGAGGCCAAGGATGGTGCGGGAAGTGTTTACTACTAGCTCATTCCCAGGCCTGAGGAAGACAGCCTTAGGAAAAGGGATACAGAGCTGCTCCCCGAACTATGGCCAGGGGAAGAATTTGAAGGGGCTGAGGTGGGAAAGGAGGGCCGTCCAAGCACTTGCCAGAACTTGCTTCTTCATATGTCATATGCTTTAGTTGCATGTTAAATCTCCACCTCGGGCATGATTTTTAGCATTACAATGAGGGGAAAGTCTGTGGGCGGCAGGGAGGTCCACTGTGGCTCCTGCTGGTCTGGTCTGGTCCCTGCAGGAGCAAGTCAGTGGTAAGTCGGGCCCTGGAGCTTGTTTCAAGCTTCTGCTTTCCAGCTTCCTGATGGCACGCAGTACCTGCCAGGTGGGCTGGAGAAATGGGTTATCTGAGGGGCCCGAGGTCTTCTGCAAGTTCCTGTTCTGCAGAAGAAGTGCCTCAGAAAAGAGAACTGCAAACAAGCAGATAGAAATTCAAGGAGCTTTCATTTTGAAATAGACTGAAATTGTAAGGAGATTAGGGCCCAAGGGCAACTTCAGCCCAAGATGTGCTTTTCTAGGTAGACGCTTAAGAATCTCTATCTGGCTCAGTTTCTGGTGAGGGCTCTCTTCCTGGCTGGCAGGTGGCCCCCTTTCCACCGTGGCTTCCCGTGGCTTCTCGGTGTACACAGGGAAGGAAAGAGCGATCTCTCCCTCCATCTTCTTATAAGGCCACCCATCTTATGGGATTTGAACCCCACCCTTATGACCTCATTTCACCTTAATAACCTCCCAAAAGCCATATCTCCAAATACAGTCACATTGGGGGTTAGAGATTCAACATATGAATTTGGGGGGCACATAAGTCAGTCCATAGCAACAAGGAAACTTAAAGACAGATTGATTTGTTGGATTCAAATCTGACTGACAGAGCGATTGATTTGTTCACTCCATAAATATCCGCTGAGCACCTGCTATTGTCCACACACTGACCTGGGCACTGGGCCACAAAGGTGAGCAAAACCAGACATAACCCTGCTGCCTCATGGAGCGTACTGGCTAGTGACAGACAGTCATTCATCAAGTAGCCACATACCTAACTATGCAGTTACCATCGACATGCAGGGAAGGAGGATGGAACCAGGAGAGATGATGTTTCAGGGGCCTGGCCTGGGGCAGGACCAGCCCCTGGAGGAGAAGATAGGAGCTGAGGAGGTAGAAAATCACAGGAAGAGGGACCAGCAAGTCAGCAGAAGCATGGTGGGAGGTGGGAGTGACAAGGCCAATGCAGAGGAAGCACAGAGAAGAGACCTCCCTGACTCCCCAGGGCTAGCTAAAGAAGTGGGTTTTCATCCCAAGAGCCATGGGAAGCAATTGAAAGGTTTTAAGCAGGGGGCTGGCATGACCAAGGTATGTTTTTGCAAGTCTCCCCGGGCTGCCTTGCAGAGAACAGACAGGGAAGAGGCCACGTGGCTTGGGGACACGGTGAAGAAGGTGAGAGGCAATGATTGCTTGGGTGAGGCAGGGTTCCACAAACTCCTGCTCACCGCCTGATCTATTTTTCTGTAAATAAAATTCTACTGGAGTACAGCCACGCACATCCATTTATGGATCATCATCTGTGGTTGCTTCCTCACAAGGACAGAGTCCAGTGGTCCCGTATGGCCCTAGCCAACCCCTGGGCTGGACTTCCGGAGTGGGCAGGCCAGGGCAGGCGACACGGGAGAGCTGTCTGAGGAAGGAAGCCCACTGGGACTTAGTGCGTGGGTCCCGCATGACAGCTGAGGGGACAGGAGGTGTCACAGATGACTTCAGCCAGCAGGGTCCAGCCTCAGACACCCTCATTTATGGTGTGTAACTATGAACTTAAAATAACGTTCAGCAAGTATGACATTTTGCTTTCATGATGACTATTTTTTTATAGGCCTAGTTTTCAGAAAAGAAAACAAAAGGCTGCCATTTCCTCGAGGGTCCCCGGGTTGGAAGCTGACGTATTCATGGCTCATGTGAGAACATCTCCTGAAGATGCTTCATCCAACACTGTTCGCTTTTAGAGTTCACGTCACACGCGTGGTGTGCCATCCAGGAATACTGATACAGGAATGGGGAGCTTTAAAAACCTGTACAGAGATGGTTTCGCAGCTAGTTTGGGGATTGTCTACCTGATGCTCTTTGTCTGTCCTTCCCACAGAAAAGTCTGGACACCTACTGTTTCCTGGTCTTTGCCGCAATCTGCCTCACAGGTGCCGTCTATTTCTATTTTGTCCTGCCTGAGACGAAAAACAGAACCCAGGCAGAAATCAGCCAGGCATTCGCCAAAAGGAAGAAGGCATGCCCGCCGGAGAACACGGACTCAACTGCATCTGACACCAAGGTGACCAGAAAGCCCGAGCCAGACCCTGCCTCCACTCTGGACAATTATGTCAAAAACGGGGTTGTCTAAATGGATGATCTCACCATTTCAGGAAACCAAAGATTTCCCTACATGGTTAATAGTATTAAGTATTTAAAAATAAACCTTTGCTAATCTAACGTCACAACCATTTGGGTTTCATTCATAGCTGAGTCTCCAAACTCTTCTGGAAGGTGGAAGGGATTTCAGCTTATGTTTCTGTAGATCCACCCTTCTTCTCTTTGGATCAATGGCCTGTCTCCTTCATGACTTAGCCCATGGTTTCAAAACGAAATTGGGGAAATAGCACTTGACAGCTTTCTCAGAGGAAAACAATATAGAAAACAGGGAACACAGGGATGGGAAGCCAGCTACTGAGGTGCTAGTTCCATAAGTAGCCTCGAGCTGCCCTCAACCTAGGTCCTGGGGCCTCAAGGGGACCCTGGGCTTTGGTCATAGATGAAGGTTTTCGGAATTTAGTGGAAAGACTCTTTGTACCTCCTAATACATACCGTTACCAACCTTTGGCGTGGCCTTGTGGATCTCAGGCTCAAGAAGCTAATACTAACGCACCATCCTCCAGGTTCTGCCCCTCCCAGGCTGTGTCCCATCCCTGAAACTGTCTCCAACTCAGAGGATCAGATGTGTCTTAGAAGGCATAAAGAGGATCAAGATGTGGAAGAAGTAACTTTCCAGTGGCTGGGGCAGGGACTGCAAAGTGAGTTCTGTTCAACTGAAAAAAAAAAAAACAGTATTAAGAATGACTCGGAAGCTAAGCCTAGTCTTGGTGGAAAGACAGGGCAGAAGACCCACGTCATAGCTCAACCAGTAAAGCTGAGGGCAGATTCTCCCTTCCTCTGCCTCTTTGTTTTCTATTCAAGCCCTTGACAGATGAGTCCACCAACTCAAACGCTGATCTTGTCTGGAAGGCCCCTCGCAGACATGCCCCAAATAACATTTAACCAAATATCTGAGCACCTCATGACCCTGTCAAGTTGACACATAAAATTAACCATCACAGAAGGTGAGTTCTCCATTTCTCAGAGTGCTCAAGCAAACGTGGGGTGATTGTTTGTCCTGACTGCTGTTAAGGAAGTCTAAGTGTCGCTTGCGGAAGAAGTTGTTGGGAGCAGATACGCTTGAGGCCTCTTCCAACCCTTCTGTGCTAGGGCTGTTTGGGTTGGGACGACTTCCAGCCTGTCGTGATAACGCACACCTTTGTGGCTTGGGCCATTCCCTGTACTTGCCTCCAGGATGAAACAAACTCATAATGCCCCTAGATAAATGAAAGTGCACATGTGTGTTTGAATTTATGTCACAGTAGGAGTGGGCCGGACAGAGCAACACTCCTGGAACCCTTTCGGCCCCAATCCCTCAGGCTTTTCTGACCATTCTCGACAAGGACGGCCTTAGCCAAAATCTGAGTTCTGAGTTTCCTTTCCCGCCGAATACTTTTTCATCTCTGGGCTTCTCCTTTGGTTGATTGCCAGCTCAATGCCCCGTACTCCCCAGTTTTGGTTTGGCGGAAAGATTTGGACAGTGTTTGTCAATATGGCGAGAAAGTGATAGGTGGGTACAAAAAGGTGCCTAAGACCAAAAAAGCCAAATAAAGTGCAAAAAGAAATCTTAGCTGTGGAGTGTTGTCTTTCATGCATAGACTTGAGTATCTAGCTTCTAAATAGTAGGTACCTAGCATGGGCTAGGCCCTGGGTAGGTAGGCCCTGAGGACCCATCAGTGAGCAGGAAGATACAGTGCCCTTCCCCACATTCGCTCATGCCTGCCACAGAAGATTGAAAATCAAAGAAGCAGGAACCGTGACGTGTCCCATCGGGACCCGGAGGAGGGGGGACACAGCGTGGTAGGAACAGGTCACAGGACCACGCCATCGGGGGTCGGTGAGAGGTGAGAATCAGGAAGGGGGCCTTTCCAAATGATGAACTGGGAGAGCAACACAGCCAACAGGCGGTCGGCTGGGAGTTAGCCCTAGCGTTTCCACGTTTGAAAAGTCAACATTAAGTAAATGTTTGAAAAAGAAAACAATAAGACTCCCATAATCTCACCTGCTTCCATTTCCCTGACACCATCACTCTCATTCTTACACATCTCCGCCCACTTCTGGCCAACGATTCACACTGTTATAGTCACAGAATACATAACGATTTACAACTCTCTTGTCTCTTAGCTCCTATTTTTCCCCACTTTCTATTAAATCAAACAGCATCTCTGTTCCAGAGCCTTTCTATCGTACTCCAGCATCCACTGCAGTGAACTCTTCACGTATAGAGTTGCTTTTCCGATGCTGAGAGAGGGGAATGGTGAGCCAGAGAGACAGACATTCCTGTGAGCCTTGCCACACAGATTCTTGGGCTTTCTGACAGAAACTAACCATTTAAAGCCCCCCGGATCCGCTCGTGGACCCTAAAGAAATCGCGGCTCAAACGAATAGACCTCCAGTCCCAACTCCTGCCCAAGGATTAGGGATTAGGTCCTAGTCTTACTGTTTTACTTTATCCTTTCATCTCAAAGCCACGAAGGTTGACATCTCCTCTTTTTGGGTTCACTGAAAGAAAAGTAACTCTTCTAGCCTCTGGGTCTGGCTAAGATGAAATAAGCACACTCTGCTCTGTTTGTCTCACTGATGATAACCGAAACCCCTGCATAGAATACATCACTACAGATACATGAAAAATAAAGGCTAGCAGGCAAATGGGGGAGGCCCATCAAAACTCACAGGACAGGGGCGCCTGGGTGGCTCAGTCGGTTGGGCATCTGCCTTCGGCTCAGGTCATGGTCCCAGGGTCCTGGGATCGAGTCCCACGTCGGGCACCCTGCTCAGCGGGGAGTCTGCTTCTCCCTGTCACTCTCCTTCTGTGCTTTCCCTCTCTCTCTCTCTCTCTGTCAAATAAATAAATAAAATCTTTAAAAAGAAAAGAAAAGAGAAAGCTCCAAGAGAAACCCTCCCTGTCTGGCCAGAGGGACAGAGGGGGTGACCCTCTGGGGACAGAAGGTAGGGGGAGCGGGGGAGAGTCATTGAAGAGTAAAAAGTCCCTCCCTTTTATGGCACTGAGGCCAGTTCCAGTCATGAAGCTGAACTCCTAGGGCGGTAGCCATATTCTTGCACATATTCACCTGCTCTGGGCCTTATCAGCTGGTGCTTATCTTTAAAAGATGAAGAACTACGCCCAGGAGGGCAGGAGCCATGACTGTTTGACTCCAACTAACATAGTACCCAACACATAGTAGGAGCACAATAAATACTGGTTGAATGAGTGGGTAGTGTGGTAGGCAGAAAAACAGTCCCCCAAGATGTCCAAGGCCTAGTCCCAGAACCGTGAATGTCACCTTACGGGGCAACAGAGACATTGCAGTTGTGATTGAGTTAAGGATCTTGAGATGGGGAGATTAACATGGATGATCCAGCGAACCCAATGCAATCCCAGCAGTCCTCGTAAGCGGTAGGCAGGAGGGTCAGCGACAGAGAAGGACTTGTTGGGGAGGGAGGAAGGGAGGGAGAGAGAAGAGGGGTGGGGGGGAGAGACTGGGAGATACTATACTGCTAGCGTTGAAGATGGAGGAAAAGGAGTCACAAGCTAAGGAGTTCAGGCAGCGTCCTGGTAAAAGGAAGGGAAACGGACTCTCCCCTAGAGACTCCAAAAGGGACGCAGCCCTGCCCACACCCTGAATGCATCATTTCTGACCGTTAGAACTAGAAGACAATAAATTTGTGTGGCTTTACGGCACCAAGGTTGTGGTGATTTTTCCGGCAGCAGTAGGTGACTGATACAGGTTGCTGAGGGCAGTGGTCCCCCCCGGGAAGGGGTGAATAAGCAGGGCACAGGATGGTTCACCGGCACGTGAGAAGAAGGTAGTAGAAAGTCTTCTTATATTCATTTTTCACTTTGAAGTAAATATCACTGGACTCACTTTGTGTGATTTGAACACTGTCCCAACCCAGGCGAGCCATTACTTGGACTTCACATCTGTTTTCTCCTCACCGACATCTTGAAGACCTTCCCTCTGCCTCCTTCCCTCAGGACCTTGAGAGGGCTGACTTCTCATCTCACACGTGTAGCACCTCGTGGTCTCTTCCTGGTACGAACCGGACACCCAAGAAATTGTCTTTATTGGAAGGAGGAGCAGATGAAAGATGTGCAAGGGCCACCATCCTGGACCCCGCCATTGACACCACATCCCGAGGGGGCGGGGTGGTGAGCAGTAAGGACCCTGGGGCCACGCCGCGTGGACAGAACTGCCCATCGATGACCCCTGCTTCGGACTCAAAACTTCCAGGTCATTCAAGTCTCTCTCATTTTGAGTTGCTCTTCCTCGTGACAAAGCCTAAACTGAGCTCATACAGGTCGTAACAGGAAAGAACGCAAGGCAAACGAGCACATATGAAGCACATCCCACCTTCAGACACTCAGCGAGTTGTCCCTCTGGGGCACAGGGGCCCCGGGGTTAGGGGAGCGTGGATTCACATTCGCCGATTACTGGCGACAGCAGCTTTGCTGTGGTCTTAAAGCTGGCTGTGGGGCTGACCTGGGTTTTCTGCCTAAAAATTCTGCTTTCTCTTCCTCTGAAGTTTGCAACCTGCTCTCACCATTACTGCCTCTGATGCTGGAGGCAACCTATGAAGTAAATATCGGATTCATTTCATCTGATTCAAGCTCTGCTCTTCCAGCTCCAAGTCCAGCCAAGTCGAGGGCTCCAGTCGCTGCCCTACGGACCTCAGAAATTTGGCCCCAGCCCCTCGTCTCCAGAACAAGGACTCTGGCATGTACCATCCCTTCCACTGTGACAAGCGGACACCTGCTGACCGGTGGTGGGCTGAAGCATCCAAAGCCCCGGTGAATCACGCCTCCCAGTTTCTCGTCCCTGTGGGATCCCCGACTGCACCAAGACTGGACGTGGCCACGCAACTCTCTTTGGCCACTGAGACATCAGAAAATATGACATGAACATGTGATGAGGAAGCCCAATGTAGCCTCTTTGAGGTTGAAAGGCCAGTGAAGGGGACGGGCCCACTCTCTCCACTGTCCCAGCTGAGCCCCGATCCAGTGACCATGCAGCTGAATGCAACTATGTGAGTGGGGCCAGGAGACAGTAGCAGAAGAATCACTCGGCATTCACAGAATCACAAGGAGTAATAGGTTGTTGTTGCCTTAAACTGCCAAGTTTTGGCATGGCTTGTAAAACTACGTATATATAGGTAGCTGATATGGACCATTATCCTCCGTTCTGTTTTGTCATTATTCACTGAGTTACGTGGCACTGCTTAGAGCCCATATCCGCAAACAAGAACAGAACCAACATGCTCTGGGGTAGAGTCTAGTTCATTCATCCCACAGACACTTGCTGAGCACCTAGTGTATACCTACCCTAGGTGCGGGGGATGCAAGCACAGATGAAACCAATCTCTTCCTTCAAAAGGCTGAGAATACCTGAGGGAAACAAACCACTGATCATCAGCATGAGTCTGGTGGTCCCTCTCCGTAGAATGTCCTTCTCCTTCTCACTTGGGTGATTTCTATTCACCCTGAAGGACGACACTGAGGCTCCCCGCGGTAGGAGTGCCATCAACCTGGGCTCCATCCTTGGCCCACCATCTTGCTCATATCCGCACAATGACCTTCCTCAGGGATAACGTGTTCCAGGCCCCCTGGAGGTTAATGTATGCCCTGACAGGAGTGTGAGGGGGCTTGTTCTGTCCCATCTTCCCTAAGGTGGTCACAGGCAGCCAGTGCACAGGGGACCCCACTCTAGGTAACTCCCCTGTGACCTCACCCCCATGCCCTCCCTCTAGAAAAGCTGTGGGTTACAGTCTGAACTTTATGGAGAACACCTGTGTGGTGCCTGGATCATTCATCCACCTGATCTTCCCCACCAGGAAGTCACCCTGAAGACAACTCTTTAAATGGTATGGAGTGGCTTGCTTCGTTTTTCAGTTTCAGCGTTCAGCGTTCTTTCTCAGTTTGGAGGCTACTTTACTGTCCATCCTCCAGCTTCTAACACCAGCCCCTAAAACTCTCTCTCTGCTTCCCCAGTCTCGGCTGGATTCTTTTCTTTTGCTTCTCACAGAAGCCTGTGTTCACCTCCATTCAGGGATTTAGCGCTGCATCACTATCGCGGTGATCTTTGTTCACTTGGATATCTCCCCTCCTAGACTCTACAAGAGACTCAACAAGAAAATGACGGATGCATCTCAGGCCCCCAGGTTCCTGGTAAGCACTCATTACACACTCACTGAACAAATTAACGCCCGGAAGAGGCCATGAGGAGGATGGGACTGGACCCCTGTGGAGAGACTGGCTGTGGTCCGGGGTGATTGGGCCGGATGCTTCCGAGTGGTAGCGTGGGAGCCTCATCTCAGTTGTGGTATTTGGATTTTGTCAGGCTGACGAGAGGCAGGGAGGAATTTGAGACAAAAGGGCCAATGACATGGAAATGGCAGCCAAACACAGTAGCTATAAACACAAGAGTGGGAGACCACACGGGTCAGTGGTTGGAGTCTAGACTGTGAAAAATCACGATGGCGGCACCTAAATATGCCCGGGACCAGACCCACCCCACACCTTCCGCCTCTGGCCGAGCACAGGTCGATGCAGACACCACCCTATTCTGATACTGCTTCTTACTGGAATAAATGAGGGGACTCTAGGGGGTCAGACCATTATAGTCAGGCTTCTTCCCATTTCCCTTCCACCACACATTCATTCACTGGCTGTGAACCCCAAAGGACGGAGGTCTCATTGAATGACAGGGGCTCGGCGGTTGCTCACAGTTTCAGACATTTGCTGTAATTTACACTAAGATGTGGATATAATTATCCTTATCAGAATCACGTCCCCTGGCAAATCTGTACGTTAAGTCAAGTAAATTTCCTCTCATTAAATCACAGCATTTGGGGGCGCCTGGGTGGCTCAGTTGGTTAAGCGACTGCCCTCGGCTCAGGTCATGATCCTGGAGTCCCGGGATCGAGTCCCGCATCGGGCTCCCTGCTCGGCAGGGAGTCTGCTTCTCCCTCTGACCCTCCCCCCTCTCATGCTCTCTCTCTCTCTCTCAAATAAATAAATAAAAAATCTTTAAAAAAAAAAAAATCACAGCATTTGGGGAGCGCAGTTTGTCTCAGCCAAGAACCAGAGCTGGAAATAATAAAGGCCAAGGCAAAAAGAAGTTGGGTTCTCAGCAGGGCATGTGGGCGGTGAAGACAGAGGCAGAATTTCAGAAGTGTGCTGGGAGCCCAAACCTCCAGCAGCTCCATGACTGTGCCTCTTGAATTTAGAGCAGGCACTTCTCAGCCGCTCACCACCTCACCATGTGGCAAATCGAGAATGCTGTCTTCCGTGTAAGCTCTAGGAGCAGAAAAGAGCATCTAAAAGAAGGTATTTTCAGTGATGAAGCAGATACCTCAGAAATGGCCTCATAGTTTTGTCCTGTGAGTGAAACTAAAAACGAGCAGTTTTGTGCTGGACCTATAGTAGGTTTTCACACATGCGACCCGCCTTGTTTCTCACGACAAGACGGTGAGGTGAGTTGTGAACACGCTCATGATGTCCATTTCTTTTTCTATTTGGAATCTAGCACAACTCTAATTAAAGAGCCTGGACTAGAGCCTGGGGACACTGGACATGACCTACCACCTGCTGAATCTGCAGCCATTCCCACTGTTCCTTGCACGCTGTAAGTGCTAAATAGAGAGCAGCTGAATGAATAAATTGTGAATACGATAATTTGTTGAAATTGGGAAGTTTTGAGAGCTATGGAAACTAAGTTTAAAGATACTAGAAATCACCAGGCCGGCAAAATGTGGCTGATACCGAATTGCACAGAACACACCCAGCAAATGAATGTCTGTCAGTGAGTCCCCTTTCGTTGCGGGGGACGGAGTCCCAACTGGTACTAGCTTGAAACTTAAAGATGGAAGATTTTCATTTGCTAACCTCGAAGTCTAGTAAGGCAACCAGCTTAAGCCTTGCCTGGATTCAGGGGCTCAAGTCACATCACTCATGGCTCCAGCTCTGTCTCTGTCCTCTCTTGGTTCTGCAGCTCTCTGCTTGAGAATCCCAATATGGCAGCCCCCAGGAGCCCCCAGCCTTGCACGTTCTCAGCCTGGCCACCCAGTGGGGGGAAGAAATCCCTCTCCCAGTGTATTATTTATCTTTTGCTATGGAACAAAACTCCCCAAAACTTAGTGGCTTAAGAAGAAAAGCCATTTCACTGCTCACAATTTTGTGGGTCAACAAATTGGGCAAGGCTCAGCTGGGCAGTTCTTTGGATCCATGTGGTGTCCTCTGGATTCAATCAGGCATTTGTGGTCAGGTGTTGTCAGCTGGAGGCTGGTTGGGCTCAGATGGCCTCATGCACATGTCAGAGGCCTCAGCTGGGATGGCTAGAACAGCTGGGATGTCTGAACCCGTCTCTACAAGGTCTATCTCTGCATGAAGTGTTTCTATCTCAGCCTGGCTTGCTCACAAAGTGTTCTAAGAGAATGAGCACAGAATCTGCAAGCCCTCTGGAGGCTGAGGCTTGGAACTCACACATCTCCTCAATTGATCAAATCAAGTCATGGGACCATCCCCAATTCAAGGGGAATGGATTCCACCTCTTGATGGGAAGTACATGAAATCACATCACAAAAGGACAAATAGGACAGGAGCTGTTGTGGTGGTGGTCAGCTTTGCAAACACTCTACCACCCTCAATGTCCACATATCAACCTCACAAAGAGTCTGGTTTCCCTACTCAGCTCACATGCATATCCCCGAGGCCGTCACAGTGACCAGGGAGGGTAAGTTGCTCATATGCTCAACCCAGAAGTGGTGGGCAGGCGGTAGTATGATCTGAATGGCAGCTCTTCCAGAGCCACCTAGAATCAGAGGGGGAATCCCCAGCAAACCAGAAAAGGATGAAGAAGTGTGCTCAGGAGACAAAACGGAAGCTAGCAAGCTCCAGGGCAGGCTCTATCTATCATAAGGGGATGATGATCAGCCAGGAAAGCTTAAACATAAAGCCAGAAGCATCAAGGGCATTGGCCATTTGGCCCTCTCAAGGATAGAGATGCCCTGACCCATAGACTCAACCTGTCCAGTCACCCCTTAACTTTGGAAATGAATGCACAACTCTCAACGCCAGCTGCCAGAAACAACAAACATTCCCATCAGTTAACTCCCGTGCCTTTTTTTCTCAGTCCATAATGCCCGGGTGGCCTTCCCATTAGAATGATTTCCAACAAGTTGCTCAAACCAACTGGAACTCTGATTTTTCTTAAGTCTATATTTCACAGCAAAAATTGGCAAATTATCATGCCTGGTTTGTAGGTCACTATCTGGTGAGAACAGTAGGGATGTGTCACCGCCACTCCAACTAATGCTCAGGTACCAAGAAGTTGCATCTTTAAGACTAAAAGCCAGACTGTGATGAAATCTGCAAAGCTCTTATCCCTTGAGGCATCTTGCTGAGGCTTTCTTGGAGGCGCCTGAGCTCCGCTGAGTCTCCGGGTACTGTCTCAACTTGACATCAGAAGAAACTAAGGTTTCGAGAAGCAACTTGCCCAAGGTCATGAAACCGTGGACCAACGCCATAAGGTGGCTCTTCCCCACTCATTAATTACAATCTGTTTACTCACAGGACTCTTGCCGTGGTCTCACTCTACGCCCAACTGTATTCCAGGTGCTGCCGATAGGATGGGGAAGAAGGAAATCTCCAGCTATCATGGCGTTGACATTCAAGTGGAGGGGATGACAAATAAGAACCAAACAAACAAATAGGTCACACACAAAAAGCGAATGGTGATGAACATAGTACAAAGGATTAGAACATGGTGTCTGGGTTGTGACTTTAGACTGGGTGGCCACAGAATGACAATGTGAGAATAACATCCCACTGTTACCCATGGAGCTCAAATGCCCACCTGCAAAATCGGTAAATCTGTTAGCTGGACAAAATTATCTCTAGAGCATCATCCTGCACAACACATCCTGTGGATAAAGGACTCGGTAGGCTAGGTTAGCGTCATAGAGGTTAGAATCAGTTAAAACCATTAACTATCTATAGCAGTATCTGTAATTTATTGAGCTGCACTGGATGCCTAAAATCGGTGATCTCTCGTGCTCATGACGACCTTGCCAGGGCAGGTGTTAGTCTCAGCATTTAACCAGTGGGGGAACTGGTCACGTTCACTGAGGTTAAGAAATTTAAGCCAAGGGAGGTGGGAGAGGGGACGTGGTAGTGAGTCTGCCATCGAGCCTGAAGCACTGTTTGAAATTCGCTGTGCCACACCCTTCCTCTCTCCAGACTTGCCCCCCTGCCCCACCATCCCCTCCTCCTCCTCCAATATTACAGAGACCCGAGTCCCACCTCCCTTTGTCGTCTCCTCCCAGAGGTCAGCAGGGTTTCTATTTGCATGGGAAAGGCATCTGGCTTCCCACAGCCAACTGGTTCCCCACGACCCTCACTAACCAGGTGCTCCCCAGCCTCTGAGCCTAGTAAATCAGCAACCAGGACCACAGGGGCTGGGGAGGGACTGGGGCAGAAAGATAGGATGCCCAAGGACTTCCCTCCCACCCGCCCTGCCTCCCCAGGACACTTTAAGGCAAAAATTATTTGCCAATTTGTACCATTTGTATTCTGAAGTCTGGGACCTGCCCAAGATATCCTAGTGGATGAACAATGGAGTTTATATCTAATCCTAACCTAATGCTCATTTTACTGTGCTGCACATGTCAAAAATATAAAGGGGTTTTCTCAACGAGGGAAATCAGAATCAACACGAGGCGCACAGCCCCATCTCTTTTCTTCTCGTGATATCAAGAGCCTCCCAAGAAAAGCCACTTTGGACCAAACCCCAATGTTGTCTACCTCCAGGGCTGCAAGGAATCACCAGTGTCTGATGATGTGAGAAACAAAGGCAGAAGAACAATTATTAAATGTCCTTACTTCCTACAGCCCACTGGCAAGTTCTTGAAACAGGGAGAGTGACCTTCCTTTAGGGACTCAGCTGCCTCGATGTTAATACTCTGCTAAAGGCAAAAGGCAATCTGAGCCCAACCCCCGGGATCCTGTAAGTCGACTTCAACATATAAAAATTCCTTTGGAAACTTCCTTTATCTCTACTCCCCAAGATACATGTTGGCTATCATCCCCCAATCATAGGACCCACCCATATGCATGTGAAGGGTCTCATGATGAGGGTTTTACTAGACAGTAAATGACCTTTTCCCAGCAATAGCTAGCCCCCTCAAGGTCCTGGAAACCTTGCTTCCAAACTCCTTAGAGACTTATGCTATCCCCAACCCCCTCCCAACTTGAAAGTACATAATGGACCACTCCTCACGACCCTGTTGCGGCTCTTTCTGCCAGCGGGTCCTGTCCCCGTGCTCTAATAAAACCACCTTTTGCATCAAGGATGTCTCAAGAATTCTTCCTTGGCCATTGGCTTCGAACCCTAACGTCTTTCCTACATCCCCTGAGACAAGAAGGAGCTGATGCCTGCCTGGGTCATCCTGCTGCCCCTCCCTTTGTGTGAATGGTGCCCCCTGGGGTTGTGCAGGGCAGGCCTGACCCTAACCAAATCAGACCGAAGGGAGAGATTCCTAAGCCAAAAGACACCGCTCCTCCAGGACTCACACTGCGGCTTACCCTGGAAGTATGTCGCAAAAGGGGAGAGAACAAGCCTTTCTCAAAGACTGGAGTTCTGAGCCTTCGTCCCACGTGCGGCCGATCTTCATTTGGGGGTGTGGGACCCTGGTGGAAGAATTCCAAAGTCTCTCTTTTAGATGTGCAACCACACCTAGGATCTTAGGAAGTGAAAGGGTGTACGAGAAAGTGCCTTGTAAACCGCGTAAGACCCTAGAACGTAGGGAATTGCTCACGGGTTGGTAACAGCTAGGCCAAGGAGTATTAGACCAGCGAGCTCTGTCTCTGCCTCTGTCCATCTTTCCATTAAGTCAGAACACTGTGATTAGGAGTACTCAGCACGTGGCCGGCTCCCGGGATAAGAGATTGCTCCAACACACCCTCTGCCACTGAAGAGAGCGAAGGCTCACGAGAAAGGCAGCTAGGGCACAATTTCACCCCACGGGGTGAGGCTGTCATGGAGGGAAGCAGGGACGTTATGGAATTAAGGGCGGGCCCCTAAACCGACTGAGAGAATCAGAGAAGGCTTCCTGGAGGAGGTGGGCTCTCACTAGAGGAAGCCAGAGATAAAGGAAAGAGCCCGCTACCTAGAACCCAACCACAGGCGACAATGTGGCTCGTGAGAGCCTCCGTGTGGCCCGTGTGGTGGAACACGGGGTGACTTAGAAGGACAGGAAGGTGCGGTAAGATTCTGGGCTCAACCAACAGGCAGGAGCGTGCATTCCATTTTGAGGAATAAGGACTTTGTGTTGAAGGTGAGCAGTTACCAAATGTGCTTCATGAAATCCTAGACCTTAGGTGCGTGAGAAAGGGGGGCTCCTTAGTCACACAGTTTGGGAAATCCTCCTCCTCGACTTTCTTGGAGGGTCACTGAGTACATTAGCACATTAACAGCTCTGAGAAGTCCTGCAGTGAGAGCCTGCTTAACCGTGACTAACCCAGCCTTCCCCAGATAATTTGGCCAGGAGAAATCGGATTCCTATAAGCGTCCCACAGAACACCCTGGAAAGTCCGTCAGAGGCTCTGGGGAGACTCTGAATGCCCTTTGAGCACAAGAAGGACCTGGTCAGATTGGTGTGTTGGAAACAAGCCAGAGAAAAGGAATTGCCCCTTCATTAGCCTGTTTCTGTCTTTCTCCCAAATACCACAATCACTGTAACATGTCACCCCTCGGTGTCCTAACCTTCTTTATTCTCCCGGCGTCCCTTCCTCCTCACCAACTGCAGCCATTTCCCAGGCTCGGTTCAGGTGTCACGTCCTCCAGAAAGTTCCCCTGACCCTCCTCTGACCTCTGAGTGGATGGCCAACTCAGTCCCCGGTGTGACTTGCTACACAGTGAACTGTGACCACACAGGGTCACCCTCCTCTCTGGGTTTCTGCTCAGCGTCCGTTGCTGCATGTCACTTCTCCTGCTCTTACTGAGGCTGCGTCGTTAGCCTTCATCCCTTCTCAAGTTCAAATGCTGTCCTTGGACCAGATCTCCCATCCCTAGGATTTCACCAACCCAACCAACAGGTTTGTACCTCCTGCCAGAGCTCCCTTTCCGGTGGCGGACCTGGTTCAGGTACCTGCTAGACAGCTCCCCCTGGATGCCCGTGGAGCACTGCAGATCAGCACCTCCAAACCTGAACTCCCCTCCTCCTGCATTACACCTCTTCCTCCTCTGTCACCCTGACTCAGAACAGCATCACCGCCCGCCTGCCCAGGCTGGAACCCGGGGGCCATGTGGACCCTGCTGTCTTCTCCCCACCCAGTCCTGGCGATGCTACTTCCAGAAAGGATGCTTCTCCTTCCCGTGCCCCTTCCCCGCCGTTCTGCCGGACCAGGGCTTCCCCGTTGCCCACGGACACTGTTGTGAGAGCACCATGACAGCTCTCTCTCACCCCCCCCGCCCCCCTGCAGCAGAACCGTCCTTCCACAGCACCGGCGTGTCCCGTCCTGTCCCCGCTTCCGACCCCTGTGGCTCCCCACTGCAGCTCCTCCGCACCGGGACTCCTCTGCTCCCGTCCCTCTCACCCTGCCCGTGACTTGTTCCCTCTGCCTTTTTTAACATTTTTATTTAAATTCAATTTAAGTAACATATACTGTATTATTACTCTCAGAGGTAGAATTTAGTGATTCGTCAGTTGCCTGTAACACCCAGGGTTCACTACAACACACACCCTCCCCAATGTCCATCACCCAGTGACCCCATCCCCCCACCCCCGTCCCCTCCAGCACCCCTCAGTTGGTTTCCTAAGATTAAGAGTCTCTTATGGTTTGTCTCCCTCTCTGGTTCCGTCCTGTTTCATTTTTTCCTCTCTTCCCCTATGATCCTCTGCCTTGTTTCTTAAATTCGTCATATCAGTGAGATCATATGATAATTGTTGTTCTCTGATTGACTTATTTCGCTTAGCATAACACCCTCTAGTTCCATCCACGTCATTGCAAATGGCAAGATTTCATCCTTTCTGATGGCTGCATAATATTCCATTGTATATCTCTACCACATCTTCTTTATCTGTTCATCTGTCAATGGACATCTTGGCTCTTTCCACAGTTTGGCTATTGTGGACATTGCTGCTATAAACATCGGGGTGCACGTACCCCTTCGGATCCCTACATTTGTATCTTTGGGGTAAATACCCAGTAGTACAGTTGCTGGGTCATAGGGTAGTTCTATTTTCAACTTTTTGAGGAACCTCCATACAGTTTTCCAGAGTGGCTGCACCAGCTTGCATTCCCACCAACAGTGTAGGAGGGTTCCCCTTTCTCCGCATCCCCGCCAACATCTGTCGTTTCCTGACTTGTTAATTTTAGCCATTCTGACTGGTGTGAGGTGGAATCTCATTGAGGTTTTGATTTGGATTTCCCTGATGCCGAGCGATGTTGAGCACTTTTTCATGTGTCTGTCAGTCATTTGGATGTCTTCTTTGGAGAAATGTTTGTTCATGTCTTCTGCCCATGTCTTGACTGGATTATTTATTTGTTTTTTTGAGTGTTGAGTTTGATAATTTCTTTACAGATCTTGAATACTAGTCCTTTATCTGCTATGTCATTTGCAAATATCTTCTCCCATTCTGTCGGTTGTCTTTTGGTTTTGTTGACTGTTTCCTTTGCCGTGCAGAAGCTTTTTGTCTTGACAAAACCCCAGTAGTTCACTTTTGCTTTTGTTCCTCTTGCCTTGAATGCCTTTCCATCCCTTTTCCCCCAGGAAACCCCCAGCTATCCTCATCTCCAGGGCTGCCTGTCCTTGGCTGGCCCCCCACTGAAGCTTAGGCACCTTTCCCCACCACTCCATGGCCCCGCTGAGCCTCAGCCTCCTCACATGGAAAACTGCAATCCCTACATCAACCCTTGTTGTGAAGAACAGAAGAGAGAAAATAGGATTCCACTGTGCTTGGAATGAAGGAGATCCTCAGTAAGCGGCTTAGGGGAACAAAGGACAATTCTGCCCCATCCCCCAGAGTGGCTGCTGGGACCCCCACTTGAGCCTGGTTCCAAGAGTTGCTCGGCCTTGCCGGCCAAGCCCAGCCCTTCAACAGGAGCCCCACCCACCGCCCCTTCAGCGGACCGGTTCCCTCTCTGGCCGTAGCAGGCCGCGCATCACCGAAAGCCCCAAGCCTGTGCCGTGAAGTTTGAACATGATCAAAAGCGCCCGAAAGACAGGCGAGTAATCCGCCAACGACCACGGACGGGCTGCAGCTGGCCCCAGGGTGCAAAGAACCTCATCAAAATGGAGATGGGTTGTTTTGAGCAACAGGGTCAGTTTTTCTCTACCCAGATCCCGGCCCTGAAGCCCAAACTGCACATAAACCTCTGAACAAGCCGGACAGGTGCATGTCAGTCAGCTAAAAACAGGCTTGGGAAGGGAGCTCATGAAGAAATAGATGCTTTTAGTCCCTTCCAGTCCTTAAGAATCTTAAAAGCCCCTCAGATGTTTCTCCAGCCAGTTAGAGCATCTCCCAAAAAGCTATTTTGAGGCAAGCGCATCCTCTGAAGCGGCTCTCACCAGCCTGAGAGCCAGGCAGCAGAATGCCATTTTCCCAGCTTTTAAGAGAAGTATCATGAAGGGACGAGAAAGCCCATTTTCGGGAGGTCTCTGTGCAGCCGGGCCCACTGCATGGTGCGCCCCCAACTCTCCCCACTTCTTCCTCCCACACACACACATGCAAGCATTACCCAGGAGGGAAGGGAGCCTTCTCCACTATTCGCACTCCCAGAAAACCCAATGCCGCCCGACCCGACGAGGAGGGTAGGAAGAATTTAAAGAGTGCTGAGAGTCCTCAGCCACGGAGCCCAACGCCCTTTCTGTGTTCCCTCATTTGGAAAGCAGTAAGCCAGAGCAGCCTCCGGAGGTGGACAGCCCGAGTTCAAGGCAGGCTCCACCACGCCCTCACCGAGGGCCTTACAGCAGCCCGCTGTACCTCCTTTGCCTCAGTGTTCCTCATCTGTGAAATGGGGGTGATGGCACCTACTTCTAGGATTTCGGTGAGAATGCAGTAAGTTAACGCAAGCAAAGCACCCAGAACAGTGCCCAGCACTTGAGAGTTACACAGTAATTATTGGCCATCACTATTCCTGGTTCATCTGTAAGATGGAGTGGAAGTTCGCTTGTTAGAAGCAGCTGGTGCCCGTGGCTGGGGGGTGTGCTCGGCTCACCAGCCCCTCCCTGGTGGGAAGGATGCTTCCTGGGCCAGGTGAGTGCGGGAGGGATCATGTGACTTTGGTTAGAGCCAATGAAATGGGGTGGTAGTGAAGTGCAGCCCTTCTAAGCGGAAGCTTGTCGAGGCAGCTCGTCGCTCACCATCTTTCTCTTGTCCTGCCACAACATCAGCGGGGGCCCAGAGAGAGGCCGGTCCGGCAGCCCGGGTTCGGAGTGACCCTGCAAGAAATAAACTTGTGCTGTTG